TTTGTATTCGCACTTGTTCGGTTTAGCAAGAGTCGCCACCGACTTTTTATTTTATCCTAAAGGAAAGGTTAAAAAGCACAGGAAAAACCTTTTGAGATGTTTCGTGGGTTCGGGGGGTAGATTATGAAAAGGGAAGGGATTAGCACCCTTTTCATCCATGGTTATCCATGGGCTCTTAGTTACTTGTTTTAGATCACTTGCCTTTGATTTTCAATTGCTTGAAATGGTGGTGTGTGTGTGTGTGTTTTTGAAAATGTTTTGAAAAAGATGCCTTGTCTAGGCATCCGTTGTAACAATTCTTTACTCGAATGGTTTACAAAAGGTGTTTGTCTTTTCGAAAAGATATTTCAAATGTTTTTTGAAAGTTGTTTGGAAATTGTGTTTGTGGAGTGTGTTTTGAAAAGTAGGCAAGTGTGTTTTGCAAGTTTGATCAAGTAACTAAGAGTTGTCTACCCCTAAATTTACTCAAAGATTTTTCTCATGTTTTTAACCCTTTTAACAGTTTTGTTCCACCATTGTATTTGGTGGACAATCTTGTGTTAGGATGTTAACGGGACAGGCGCGGGTCATCGTATGGACCATGAATGCAATGATGCCAAGTGTCTTTGGCAATTTTGCTTGAAGGGACTATGATCATTTTGTAGGCAACTTCGAAAGCATCATCGAGGGACTATGATCATTTGAATTGTTTTGCCAAAGAAACTCAACATGCAAGCATGGCCCATTTTGGAAGGCAACAAGCGGGATTACCCTAGGGGTGCAAGTGTGATTGGTGTATTGATTTTCATACATTTGTCTTGTATTAGGTTATCTAGCGGTTGATTTTATTTACATACAAACCCTAGGTCTAAACATGGTATAATTGAAAGCGATAAATTACGGGAATTTAAAGTCTAAGTTATTACAAATAAGTATCCGGGAATGGGGGTACAAATATTTACAAATGGGGATGAGACTTATTAGGAGAGTAGTGTCCAAATAAATTTACAACCAAATCGAATCGCATTCTCAATGTAACATGTATCAATGTACAAGAATAAAAGATAAGCAAATGTATTGGTGAAAGTGTATGTGATTATTTACAAGTGAGAAAAGTATGTTAACTTAATGCAAAATTAAGTAAGTATTTATTCTTTTTGTATTTTTGTTAATATGTACAAACAAAAGTTTCAAAGAAAAGAAAAATGTTTTAAGTTAAAGAAAATTATTATTTGTATTTTAGTTTCTATACAAAAGTTTTAATTAAAGAAAAGAGAAATGTTTTAAGTTTAAGAAAAATTTATGTATTTATATATAAACAAATGTTTAATAAAAAAATCTATTTTTAGGTATTTATTGATATCTTATATACAAGGATTTTATTTAACTCAGAATTATGTATTTTTAATTATACTAATAAAAGAGTAATTTAAGAAAAATTTATATATGAAAAAAAAGAGTTTAACGTATTGTTTTATTTACAAACAAAAATGAAATATATTAGTTTAAATTATAAAAAGAAAAATAAATAAAAAAAAGGATGTTAGTTTATGTACAAAACAAAAAAAAGGAATGGGCTTTAATGTTAGTAAGAGGGGGCAGGCCCAAGCGAGCAATTTTAAGCAAAAGGGGGGGGGGGGGTATGCGCCCGGAACCTATGGGCTTAGGCATGTAAATGTGGTTGAGGCCCAAGTACGTTTTAACAATTGTTGTAGGGTTTGTTTCATTTCTGTCTCAGATTAGGGTTACGGGCTAGAGTGGCGCTCATCTTCTTCTCCGCTTCCTTCGTTCTCCTTGAGCCAAGTCCTGAACGAACTTCCATGCCTGGTTATCATGCGCCACCTCTACTTCCTCTCTCTCCATGGATATACCAAGTGGTGACAAGAAAAGGTATGGCCCTGTTTCTCCTTCATGCGTTTTAAGGTTTTGAAGTTTTGCATGTTTTATTTTGTGTTCTGATCTTTGTGTATTATTTATGTTGGTGTGAGGCGTGAGAAGAAAAAAGGAAAAGGAGATTACCTTTGGAGAGGAGACGGAGGAGGACGGCGGCGCTTCCGGTGGCCAAGGCGAAGGAGTATGAAGCTGATGAGCTTGCTTGGAAATCTGGTACATTTATCTTTATTCCCTCGTTTAGTGATGATTGTCTAAAAAAAATCTGAAAACGCTTCTTTTCCTCTTTTGACTTCTTGCTCTGTATCAGGTTCTAGCTTCTGAGTATGATGTTTTTGATTCTGAGTTGTCTTCGTTAGAATGTTGACTTGCTCAATGATGAACTTCTTTTAGTTCTGAGAGCTTGGGTGTTGTTGCTTCATGATGTTTGATGCTGAGTTTTAGCTGCTTGAATGCTTGCTCTGATATTAATGATGATAGCTCTGAGATATCTTGTTGGTTTGAATGCTTGCCTATTTGTTTCTTTTCCTCTTCTTCTTTCTGATCAATGATGATTATTCTGAGATAGTTTCAATACTGCTTTTCCTCTCTTTGGTATTTGAGAACTTTGTTGGTTATTTTGGTTTTGATTTGTTAACCCTATGAGGAATTTGATTCTGAGGGTTTGGTTGGTTTGAATGCTTTGGCCTTTCTTTTTTTCTGGTTGGGCTTAAAGTTTCAGATTTGGTTGGGATTCTATTTGGATAAAGGCTTGAGGTTACAGGCCTTGAAGTTTTAGGCCTCAGGCTTGTTTAACAGGTTGTGAGTTCTGGTATATTGTTTACAGGTTGATGCTTTAGGCTTGTGTTTGAGATCTATGCAAGCTTAAGGTTTATGCAGGCTTTGTTTGAGATTACAGGCTGCAGGGCTTTGTTGTTTGATGTCAGGTTACAGGCTTGGCTTTTGTTTTTGTTTAAGCTTGTGTTATGGTTTGAACATAGGTTATAGGCTTGGCTTTGTGTGGTTTGTCCTTGACAGGGCTTAGAGGCTTGTGGTTCTGCAGGTGAAGGTTTGAAGTTTTAGGCTTCAGGCTGATTATGCTTCTGGTTTGTTTATGCAGGATGTGTTATTTTTTTTATGTCCTTCTGCCCCCTTTTGTTCTGATATCAACTGTTTGTTTTATATCTCTAAGCCTCAAGCCTGCTGTAAGCCTCTCCACCTCTTTTACTCTCTCTCTCCTCTTTCTATTAAAGCATATTATATTGCTTTAAAATAGCTTTTCTGAAAAGGTGATAGGCTGGGAAATGATGATTTTGAAAATGTTGCTTGCACATTAGTTTTCCTCTGCACACTTTCCAGTTTTCCTGCATCTCTTGTGTACTTTGTTGACAGCTTTTTGGTGTTTGATATCTTTCTATATCCTCTGGACAGCTTTTGACAGTTACATTCAGTTTGCTTAGTTTGAAACTTGACTTGTCTTGGCATATTCACTTTGCAATTTATGCAGTTTGGTTTGCTATTCAGTTTGCCTTTGACTATGCAGCTTTATGCATTTTTTAAATTTGCAAAACATATTTATATTCCTCTTTGTGAACCAAGAGCAATTCTTGTGATTTGCAGAGAGGGTGAACAACTGATTCCGGCCAGTCACTTTTAATGATGAGCTTTTTAAATTAACTGTCTGTTTTTTTTTATTTCATCTGCCTTGACTTCTTTTCTTTTCTTGTTTTTATAGATAAAATCAATTGAGCAAAGGAGCATAAGATAGAGGATGAAGATTTAGGATAATTAGGATATCTTTATTTCAATTTTAGTCATTTGTAATAATATTAATGTAAATAACTGTAAATAAATTTACAGTATTCAAATAATATCTGTAACAAACAATTCAAAATGAATAAACATCCTTCTTTGTCAGTTAATTCTTCTTTCAAATTGCTATCTATTTAATTATTTGAGTTTCTTAAATTAAAATAACTGGAAGTAAATCCAATTACTCTGACTTAGAAAAAATAAATAATTAATAAACACTGTGGTCTTTCCATTTAGCATGAATCAATAATAAACCCGGCACTCCAATTAACCATAGCAATGCACAGTCAATCACAACAAATTTCCAAATGTCCTTTCCTTTTACTGATTAAATCAAACACAACAAACTCTCAATCAGAAGCCTCAATCCATATCTCAGAGTAAATTGAAAAGAACTGTAGAATTAATTCTTTCTAAGAATGCGTGCACAAAACCCTGATTCTTATTTTAATTTTCACAGAAGCGCCTGCCTGATCAAACCCTGAGCCAAACTCAACCAAACCCTAATAATCTGCTTGAACTGTTCCAGAGTCCATGAAAACCCTAATTTGAACAGACTGATAAGAAAAAGTCTATTTGACTGATTCTTAGGCCAATCTGAAAAATCAGGAAAAGCCCGAAGCTGTGATTTCTTGTGGAAAAAATAGGAGGGTAAATTTTGGGGTACAACACCTGTCTCTTTCAATAAAACAAAACCTATGATAAAAGATTTGGGCTTAGACTTTAAAAAGATTGACGCATGTCCGAACAACTGCATGTTGTTTTGGAAAGATCATGGGAAAGATGATTCGTGTCATATTTGTGGCACGTCAAGGTGGATTGAATATCCTGAAGTTGCTAATGATCTTGAAGAATCTATAAAAGCTCATAAGGTTCCCGCCAAAGTTCTAATACATTTTCCATTGATTCCAAGATTGAAAAGACTTTTTATGTGTTCAAAGACAGCCGATACATTGAGGTGGCACGCAGACCATCGTTCAAGGGATGGGAAGTTAAGGTATCCAGCTGATGCCCAAGCATGGAAAGACTTTGATGCCAAGCATTCAGATTTTGCTCGTGAAACTCGTAACATCAGTCTTGGGTTGGCAAGTGATGGGTTTAATCGATTTAGGACCATCAGTCTTTCACATAGCACATGGCCTGTTGTATTAACAATATATAACTATCCGCCAAATTTGTGCATGAAGGCTGAAAATTGTTTGATGTCGTTACTTATTCCTGGACCAAAGTCACCCGGAAATGAAATTGATGTGTATTTGCAGCCACTAATTGAGGAGCTTAAGATATTGTGGGAAGTCGGTGTAGAAACATATGATATTTCAAAAAATCAATCATTTCAAATGCGTGCAGCTCTTATGTGGACTGTGAATGACTTCCCTGCATATGCTATGTTATCCGGTTGGAGTACTAAAGGGAAGTTTGCTTGTCCTGCTTGTAATCATAAAACTTTTTCAAGATACTTAAAACATAGTCGAAAGATGTGTTATATGGGTCATCGAGTCTTTTTGGATTCAAATCATAGTTGGAGATCAAATTCAAGTTCTTTTGATGGAAAGCCAGAATATAGGTCTGCACCCTCCTTGTTAGATTCAACAATGATTTTAAAAGACTTAGAAAAGATTCCTGACGTAGTGGGGCAAAAATATCATAAAAAAAGGCCTGGTCCATGGAAGAAAAAGTCTATCTTTTGGCAATTACCATATTGGAAGGATAATTCTTTGCGCCATAATGTAGATGTTATGCATACAGAAAAGAACATTTGTGATAATATAATGGGGACTCTCTTAGATATTGAAGGGAAGAAAAAGGATCATGAAAAAGCTCGTTTGGACCTACAACACATGGGGATTAGAAAAAAACTCCATTTGAAGGAAACAAGTGATGGTAAGAAAACTCAAATCCCTAAGGCATGTTTCTCCCTAACAAAGCAAGAGAAAACTATTTTTTGTAATGTTTTAAAGACAGTAAAACTTCCTGATAGCCTTGCATCCAATATTTCTCGATGTGTTCAAGTTAATGAAGGAAAAGTTTCTGGATACAAGAGTCATGATGCTCATATTATATTGCATTAGTTGTTGCAGGTAGCAATAAGAGGGATAGGCCCTAATCAAATTGTTATCCCTTTGCTTCGACTTTGTTCATTTTTTCGGTGTTTATGCCAGAAGGTTATAGATGTGAAAACATTGGATTACTTGGAAGTAGAAATTGCTGAAACACTTTGCCAATTCGAGCGTATCTTCCCTCCGAGTTTCTTTGACATAATGGTTCACTTACCAATTCACCTGGCAAATGAAGTCAGATTGGGTGGACCGGTTCAATTTCGATGGATGTATTATATGGAAAGATATTTGGGTGATTTAAAATCTTTTGTTCGTAATAGGAGTCGTCCAGAGGGTTCTATCGCTGAAGCATACTTAGTTAAAGAATCTCTAACATTTTGTTCAAGATATTTGTCTAGTGCTGTAGACACAAGGATGAATAGAATGACACGAAATAGCGATGATACTCCAAACATAGGTCATCCAATCGGGGGAAAGAAACGAATTTCCCTTGATCATAAGTCTCTAAACCAAGCTCACGGCTACATTTTATTCAATTGCGATGAAGTGCAAGAGTATATTAGGTACACTCATCTACTTGATACAAAATTTCATTCTCACTATAAGTTTTCTTTTTCTTTTGTATTAAAATATTAGTTATTTATTTTGTAGAGAGCATGAGGTTAATGATCATAATCCTCTAAAAAAAAGGAAGTCCAGAAAAGCTAACAATCAAAGAGAAGATTTTATTCAATGGTTTGAAACACGTCTCATGGATGAGAAAGTTACTGAATGGTTGAAGGTGTTGTCTAGGGGACCAAATGATGTTGTTAGAAGGTATTCTGGTTATGTTATTAATGGATACAGGTTTCATACAACAAATCGTGAAGCAAGGCTTAAAACACAAAATAGTGGTGTGACATTAGAAGCGGTGACTCAAGTTCTTAGAAATGCGAAGGATGAAAATCCCAAAAAGATTTGTGTGACTTACTATGGGGCAATAAAAGATATTATAGAGTTAGATTATTATGGTCATGAAAAATATGTATTGTTCAAATGTGATTGGTTTGTGGATGAAAAGGATAAATATGGATCGCCGTTGGTTTACTTTAACAAAAAATGCTACAAAAATGATCCATTTGTGTTGGCATCTCAAGTTCAACAATGCTTCTTTATTGAAGATCCTTTAAACAAAAACAAACACTATGTTCTAAATGCACTTCCAAGGGAATCATTTGACATGGGAGAATCTTTAAGTACAGATGCCCAAGAATATGATATTTCAACAAATCTTAATACGTTAAGGGATGATTGTGAAGTGGATTTGGTTAGGAAAGATTTGCCGGATGATATCTTTGAAATTCCTTTGTCAGAACTTCACAACCAAAAAGCAATAGAGAGTGATCACAGTGACACGAGTTATGGAAGTGACGATGAAACTGATTATGATTCTAGTACTGATTAGGTAGCATTGACAATGTGTTTTACCAATTTTTTTAATAGATTTTGAGTAGAAAATAGATTTGTTCAAAGTTTAATTTATGGTTAAGCATGCTGTCATTTTTTTACTTAAACCATAACAAACTAGATTCAAATATACTGTTAATTTATGGTTATGCATAATGTCACTTTATACTCAATTTTTCATTATATAATTATGTAATTTCCCCCTTTGTAGATCATAGTTGTTGGCCATAATGGACAATGTAAGAAGTGTAAAAGATGGTGGATCACATAGGAAGAGTGGTCGAAGTCCTACTAAAAGATTTGATTTTCCTTTTCAAGTAAGATCAAGTGCAGAATTGAGAAATAAAGTGCTACAACATGTTAAGAAAGAAAAAATTGACAAGTTACATGAGATGCTACAAGGAAACAATAGAGAAAGGGTTCATGAAATTATAGAAGTTGTGGACGGTAAATCATTTTCTTGTTTCATTTGATTTTATATAAAATGATGTATGTTAAAGTTATGTTTTGGAATTCCTTTAGATATATTATTCCTACTGTTTTTTAATGATTTTTTACAAAAATTAGAAACACCAAAAAAAAAGAAATCAACAAGAAAGAGTTCAAAAGGTTGATCACAATTTGGACAAAGAGACTATTGCAAAGAAAATGGAGATAGCCAAACTCTCGCAACCAAAAGTAATGAAAGATCATGCACATGGTGACAAAGAAGTTGTACAAGGTAAGTGATTTTTAAATTTTTCTATTATGCATATATTACATGAAATTATTCCTAATATCTTTTGGTGAATTTTTACTAAAATTAGAAACACCAAAGAAAAGAACTCAAGTGAAAGCTACAGTGAATAGAGAAAGAATTCAAAAGGTTGATGGAAAATTGGACAACCACATTGCTACGAAGAAAGCAGAGAGACCTAAGCTTTTGCAACCACAAGCTAAGGAAGTTTTTGCACATGGAAACAAAGAAGTTTCACAAGGTAGTTAATATCCCTGCATATAATTTAAATTTATATATTTCTTTTCATGACATTATTATGACGAGAAAATTACATTGAAACCAGGAATGCTGAAAAAAAGAATTCATGAGAATATACTAGAGAACAATAGAGATAAAATTCAAAAGGTGGAAAAACCAGTTGCAAGGAGAATACTTATTTCTTCAAAAAATAAGAAACCAGAGAAATCTACTCTATCTTTGGACACAATGATGTCAAAAGCTGAATGCTCTAAAAAGCTAAACAGGGTGCTAAAATGCCCATCAATGTTGATTGATGATTATGTAGATCTTCACAAGTCAAAGGAAATGGATGCAACCAAGTCAAACAATGGAGAAACACCGGGCAGCAGCGTTAACCGTAGCTCTAATCAAAATCAGCCAAAAAAAGGAACTCGACAAGAAAGTGTTCAAAATCGTGCAAAAGTCAACGAAGAAGATGCAATCACAAATAGAGAAGAAGAAAAAGGTAATTAGTTTCATATTTCATAATAATGATTTCATGTATTATTTACATATTGGTAGCAAACATGTGATATCATGTTGTTATGTTGATTACTTTATAGAAACATCCCAAAGAAAAACTCGTGGGAAAACTTTGTGCAAAAAGATTCATGCAAGAACTTTGGAAGAGCGAGTAGAAGTGACCTTTAATGAGGATTTTCATCCAATTGGTCCTAGTGAAAAATTAGTATCTGACTTGAGCCTCTTCTTGGGAACATTGGCTAGGAACTCAACATTTTGTCCTCTACGTTACACCAATTGATCAGGAATGCCAGATGATAATAAAAACTGTTTCTGGAGATATACTAATGTATGTTTTTATCTATGAATTTGAAAGTATAATTATTAAAAAAAAGTGTTTTATTTCTTGATCTTGTCTTATCTTATAATTTATGTAGCGGAAGTTTATCTTGTCGGTTGAAGCACGAGATTGGATTGAGACCACTGTTAGAGAGGCATGGAGAAGATATAAGCACAAAATTAAGAAGAATCATTTTTTGAAGTATTCCAACATGACCGAGAGACTCAAAAATCGTCCGCCAAACGTGCCAATAGCCCAGTTTAAGAGTCTTTGTGCTTATTGGAGTAAGGAAACTATACAAGTAAGATTAATATTTTTTTTTTATGTATGTGTGTGAATTTACACCTTTCTATGTATGCCATAATTAAGTAATATTTATTATAATAATTCCGTCAAATTTAAATGTAGGCAATCAGTGAAAATAACACTAGAAATAGAGCTCAACTAAAGTGGATGCATCGAATGGGTCCCAAAAACTTTGCTTTGACTCGTGAAAAAGTGGTAACTTTCTTTTGTTCTCAAAAGTATTCCTTGTATGAATGTTTCTTTGTTCAATTAAAGTATTCGTGAAAAACTTTTCTTTGACTCGTGAATAGGAATTTTAATTCACATGATTTGTTGTGGAATTATTTTGATTTGTGCAGCGTGAAAAGGAAAAAAGGAGCCCACTCAATCAGAAATGTTTGTTGAAACTCGAAAAGGAAATAAAGGAAAGGAACTGGATGTAGAAACTGGAAAAGTAATTGTATGTAACATTGTTTATATAATACGTTTGCTTAATATAATCGACCAACATTGTCTATAATAGTAGTTAATATTTTTTTTTGTTGTAATTTATGCTAGTCCCAACTTCAAGAAATGGTTGAAAAGAAGGAAAGTGATACAGAAGCTTTTAAAGTTGTTTTTGAAAAGGAGTGTCCAGGCAGGGTACGCAGTTATGGGAGAAGCATAACTAAAACTTCCTTAAAGAGAAAGGCAGAGATTAATGCTTTGAAACAAGCCCACAGTGAAGAGGTCTCTACATTAAGGGACGAGTTTCAAGATAAGATTGATAGATTGCAAAATGCTTTTAAGACCGTAATACAACAATGCAATCCTCAAATTAATATAGAGTCAATTGAAGATTTGTTAGGATTATCTCATGGAGATGCTAATAGTTCCCCAAAGGATATAAGACCGCAAATGCATTCATCTACATCAACTCATGCTCCATGTCATGGAAAGGTAACCATATATACCAATATTATTGATTTATATTTTTCTAATTATGTTATAGTATCAAAATGGTTGTTAATGTATGCAAAAATTTGCAAGTAGTGACAACACCTAGAATAAAGTAAGTGGTTGAAATTGTTTAAGTAGTGACAACACCTAGAAGTGGCTGAAACTGTTTAAGATTTGTTATATGCAAAAGAGAAAAATCTAAATTTTCAACTTTAGACATATAGACTTAAAGTAAAACATTGAGTATTTTTTATGAACATTCCTGATATGAGAAGATAAGTAAAGTAATATAAAGCCCACCCATGACATGAGATGTGAAGAATATAAACAATGTGTTTTGCTCATTGGTTTAGTTTTTATTTGTGCGAGGTTTAATTCTTGTTGATGTCTTAATTGTCCTTTGGACCAAAAATATTTATGGTTGATGTATTTTATTTTATTTTCTTATGCAGTAATGTATCAATGAAGATGTTGAAAATGACGATATAAATGATGAAATTCAAGAGGACTACATAAATGATAAAATTCAAGAGGACGACCTAAATGATAAAATTCAAGAGGACGACGTAGATGACGAATTTCAAGAGGACGACGTAGATCTAGATGATGAATTTCAAGAGGACGATATAGATGGTGAATTTCAAGAGGACGATGTAGATGAAGAATTTATGGAGGATGACATATCTAACGAATTTCAAGAGGATGATCTGGATGATTTACTCTTAGAAGACAAACTTGAGTGAGTTGTATGATGTCTTTTTTTGGCTTGTAGTTGAAAGCATTATATGATTTTTGTTCTTTTGTTGAACTATGTTTTTAGTTATTTTACTATGGTCATACTTCAAAGTATTAAAAGTAATGTTACGTTAGGCATTTTGTGTACTCTATATATTATATCTTGAATTAAAGTTTGAACTTGATTTTATTATATTACAACTTTTATGGATGTATGGTTTAAGTTATATAATCAATATTATTTTTGAAGCCAATTATTATTGACTATATTATTTTGATAATAATTGAAAAATTGTATATTTTATGTGGACACTATAAAACAACAACTTATAAGCTATGGCTACACTTCAAAAACGACCTTCCTGATTCAGGTTTAAGGCAACGATTGTTAATTGTAGCCGAATTTGGCAATGCTTAAAAAACGTTGTCTCAGAGGCCGCAAATAATCGTCCCCTATTCCTTTTCTATAGGTGATGTTTTTCAAAAGCGTGCCCAAAAAACATTAAAAAAACGTCGCCTCAAACAATAGGCAACGCTCGCACAGGAGACGCCTAGAAAACGTCCCCTATTTGTTTAGGCAACGATTTTCAGAGTTCTGGCAACGCTTTTCAATTGTTGTTGGAGAGGCTAAATGTTGTAGTGGGGGATGTGAAGTTGGGCCTACGGAAGCCCGTATTCATCCCTTTTGCATCATGATTCTTTCAATCATGGCTGTCAAGTTATTCTCCAAACCAACATTTTGGTATTGGATCTGCTGAACTACTTCATCAGCGTTTTGGTTTCTATTAACCATCCTTATTTCCGGGGCTATGACTCTTGGCTCTTCGACCCCGGGTTGTTCCATTTGTACCCTAAGGTTCTCTTCGACAGGCTGCTGGACTTTGTTAATAGTGGTTTCTTCCTCTAGAAGTATGCCTTGGTTTCCCCTTATCTGTGCCCTTTGGGGCTGTCGAGTAGGTTGGGGTACCCCAAAAAAGTCAGCCAGACGCGACATTTGCGCTGTCATTTACTGGTTCGACTGGGTGGTATTATGTATTAGAGGATTTAGCACTGTACTTAAAAGTTTGCGCCAACATTTGAACCATGTCGTGGTTGCTTTCGTCCATTTGCTGCCTCAAGACTATTGTCGAGGCATTTGTAAGGCCAGGCATTACGTGGGACGTTCCTCCTAAGAGTTGGTTCCTACCCCTGTTCGCCATACCAACCCCAGAGCCTTGGAGTGGCGAAGAGGCGCTCACTA